GGCTATTTGTTTTCCCCTTTCTTTTGGTTTTGTTGCCTTCTTATCATATCCTCACACATGCAATAACACCCTGTTTGGTTAGCAGATGGGCAATGTTTGGCTTTGCTGTTGGGATGTTAACAGAGTATGCCACCGGCTCTGACTTTGTGGATCAAGTGAAGATTCTTCTCTCAAATTTTGGACTACTAGACTTGGAATGAGGCTCTGGCTTTCAACCCCCAAAGTTGAATGTTGTGTTTTCTGCAATATGTGCATTGTTTGGTGTGTATTTTGTTGTTGTATTCATTCATTTTTAGTAAAACTTGACCTGAAAACAGCTTTTTAAACTATAAAAAGGCATACACATTGTACTGTCATTTTTCTCTTTAACCTTGGAAATCATGGTTTTGATGAGGGTAGTTTGGATGTTGGAACCAAGCTAGCTTATGGGTATTTTTTTTAGGTAGATGACTGGGGGTTAAACAATTCAGTAGATATCCTTTTGGTCTTAAAACTCTAGTTTACAACTAGCTTGTTTTTCAAGTTTTTGGGTGAAGCTTTTTCAGTTTGCACTTTCTTACACCTTTATATATATACTGTAAAAGAAATGGATTCATCTCTCCATGTAGAAAATGAAGTACCTTTGTAATGGTGGCAAAAAAGGAGAACATATACTTGTATTACAATAATGAGGAAAGAACAATTGTTTTCAGAAAAGCCTAAAATGGCATTCAAGAAACTGAATATAAACAGACACAAGAAATTACAAACAAAAAGCCATTTTAATGGATGGCTATTGCAGGAATTCAGAAAGTCTTCCATACATAAAGGTGTCACTCATATTCCATCTACACAAATTGATGTATCTTAATACAAAGGCTCACTAGTTGCCATATTGCTGTCTTTCTCCCAAAAAGAACTCTTGCAAGACCTCCGTCTTAAGCTCAAAAACTACATAATCTTGCATGAACAAGCCTTTTCACTCCGGCTCGTATACTCGTCATCTGATTCATCATCACTGAAAACACGAGTTCGTTCAGTAAAAAGTGTAAAGCACAGTTCAAAAAGCAGTACCTCATATACCCAAAAATATCAAACGACTCGTGAACAAAATGCAGTTACACTTATAAAGCACAAATGCACAAAGCAGTAAAAGATTTCTACACCAACTTGTTCCAAGAAGCTTTTGTGTCATGATTTTACAACAAATATGAAATATCATTGACAAATAGAGTATAAAGGAATTATAAGACATTTGGAGTATTTGATTAGAAAAACACGAAGGCAGGAGACTATCGTTCGGTGGGAGGGCCTTGGGTGGGGGAAGGTGGAAGAGTGTTGTGTGTTTGGTTGGGGAAGTTATGGTGGAATGAGATGAGAGTGGCGGAGATATAGACTCCAAATATCTCACTCTCCCAATTTGCAATATAGATAGAAACTCTAGGTTTGGAAACATGGGGATTAACACAATAGACTTGTGCTTGTTACTCCCTTTGTCCCATCCGGTTTCATTTTTTGTCTTAAATGGATCATGGAGAAATATGCTGGAAGGGCAAACAAAGAATAGTCATACTAGACATTTACACTGAGATAGAGGGAATATGTATCTATATAATCCAGCATTACTTTATTGGATTGTCTAACAAATTTGTATGGTGAGAGTTTTATATGGAGTGGTACTCCCTTTGTCTCATAAAAATTCATATTTCACCAATAAGGCAATAACATAGGAGTAAGATATTATGATACTTTCCTTTTTGTTAGTAAAGAGCTCTTTTTAAAAATGTCTTCATATAGGACTTTTTTTTGGAGGGATGGGGGAACATTATTCAACAGTTTAACTGTTTACGCATCAACCATTAAATAGTGAGCCAAAAAAGGTGCTTCTAGAACTTAAATAAGGGAAAACCCCAACATCATCCCGCAAAAACAATTGAAAAACATTAGTAAACATTTCAAGTAAAAGACTGAGCAATGTTGAAACATACCTAGGTTCAAATTCTCGGATTTCAAAAAGCTCCCCACCATGTGTATCTGTCCAATGGACCCTCCTTTCGATATGATTGTCAGGAGCGTCATTGCTCTCTTCACTGACCGTCTCACAGTCATTATCACTGTCTCCAGAAACAGATGTTCTATTTCTTGGTTTCTTTAAGCTGCTCTTACGTGCAAGCTTTGTGGATGTGTTTGTCCCTTCAACAGAATGAATATCCTCACCCTTCTCAGAATCGGGACCGGGCCCTGCTGGTGTTGATTCATGGTTTTGACTAGGACCAACCTTAAGGTGAGATGGGCTGCTATCTAGTCCAGCTGCAGCACGACCAAAGCAGACAAAGGAAGTGCACCCTGGGAAAGGCCTCCTGTTCTTCCTGGAAGCCAGTTCAAGATGAGTATCAGTTTCGTGGCTCACCAATTGGTATTGGCTCCACGGGGTAACTCTATCGGGCTTTTCTTCACTCTTCTGGCTCAACAGAAAAAGGGATATGCAGTTGCTATACCCAGAAGCTGAAGAAGAGAAGAAACCCCCACCTTCTATTGCCAATAACATCAGTTCTTCTTCTCATCTGGCCACCATTACAAATTTGTTGGTTGATTAACTCTCACCTCCAAAACTAGCTCCCCTGCTACAGCTGGTAGTGTCCAACAAGACACTCTAGAGGGCAGTAAAAACAACCTAAAACGCAATTCAGAATCAACAACGGTTACCTACTGTAAAATAAACAAGAAAAAGGCATACTTCTAGTGTCACAGTCTTGAAAAATAAGCCTTAACTAAATTAAAAAACCGCAGTTCTGATTCATTTCCAAAAATTGGCTTGGTAAAGCTTATAGGTGCTCGATATTCAAATCTTACTTCTAAGGATTTACAATCAACTAATATAATCAATCGTAAGACACCAGAAAAAAATTATAAAAACAGATTGTTCAGTCATTAGTGAACAGACTATCAGTAAACTATTGTTAAATCAAAGTAACTGGCATCTAAAAGGAGAAGAAGACGCAGAAAAAAACAGATTCACGACACGAAATTTATAATCAGAACAACTCGAGCAAATGCAATCTCGAATGAAGCACAAAAAACAAGAATAGAATTCAGAAGCGTTGCGTAGTTAGAGTTGTGTGGAGGAAAAGCAGTGAGATTACCAGATCTGAAGGAGCAGAAACTCGCCGGGGCTTCAGCGGCAGGACTCCATCTCCGATCACTCGAAACCGTGTAGAATTCACCGACTCCTACTGCAGGAGAAAAGATCGACTTTCCCAAACAAAATCAGATAGATACGGACGGTGTATAAAGGATTCGATACATCAGGCACTGGCGAATCGAACTAGGATCCACTTTGGGAAAGAAGAAACAAACGTCTTCTACGTATAGGATACACTTTGGGGACTTGGGAATAGCCTTTTACGAGTAGTTAATATTCTCTTTTTTCTAAAATGTTTCATATTTTTTTTTCAACAATCACAAAAACTTTTGCTTATTTGTACGTTTTATTAATTATTTGATAAAATAAAATATTTTTAACAACTCTTATTTCGAATAATTTTTCATATAGTTTTTAAATATATAAATTTTATTTTTTATTTCTATACTAATATTTAAATAAAATGAATTGAAAAAACTTGATATATTACCTCATTTTTTAAAATGTGGTAATTATTTTGTCTCGTTTTTTTTGAAAATATTGCATTTAAATAAATGTTAGTTTTAGATAATTTTTTCAAATATTAAAATTAAACGTTGACATTCTTATTATCAAATCCTTAAGTTGGTTCAAATTTAGATCCGAAGTGACAATTTCAATATGTATCATTTATAAAATAAGGAGCACATCTTAATTCATAGTCAATACTCATTTGAAAGTGATAATTCTAATTTCTTTAGTCACAAATTAATTAATTGAAGTGTTAATAAACCTCAAGGTGAACCTCTCTCTTGTGCTCTATATGGATAAAAAGTTAACGCACCAACACTTTATGAGGGTGTTTGGGAGTGATTAACTTATAGATAAAGTGATTTCCACAAAAGCTGAAAGCAAAAGCATCTCCTACCTGCTTTTCTGAAACGGTGTTCTATGTACAAAATAATGGTGGTAAAAAGTAGAAGCTGACATGTCAAACAGAGTAAAATTACTTCTACTCAAAACAGAAGCTAAATGATAAAAAGCAGCACACTGCCAAACACCCTCTATATAACCAAGATGCTCGCTCTCTTAATATAACCAAAAATAAATCTAAATCTAAGGTTTTTCATAAAAAAAAAACAGACAAATAGCTCAGAGACTTAACACAACTATCAAAAATAGAACAAAAGTGAGACCGATGTGGACATCAGCTATTTAAATCAAACTAAAATTTTATTTTAATTGTCTCGATCTAGACCTACACTCGGAACGTAATAACTATTTATGTCAATGTTTTTTATACGTACTCAATAGTTCAATTCTTTTGATCATGTCATAAAAGGTAACACACTGACTTTTTTATATTTTATCTATAAGCGATGATAAAGTAAATTAGTTGACTCTGCCAACCATTCATGACAAGATCGTGGATAACGGACAAATATTAGATATATCCGTATCCATTTTAAAATTTTAAAGTCAAGTTGAATAATATTTTAATTTCTAATTAAATTAAAGTTAATTTTTATCCATTCAGTTATAATTTGTTACGAAGTAATATTTTTATTATTGTTTGTAATTTATAATATTTTACGAGAACTTCATGTGGTAAAAAATATATATGGTACATATATAGACATATTTAAATTTGTCTACACAAATTTTTATGTGTCTGTATATAAAAATGTCTTATACTTTGACAAAAACTTACGCTGACACAAAGTATTGGTGTGTTAACAAAAATTTACACTGACATAAAGTGTTGATGCGTTAACAAAAATTTACACTGATACAAAGTGTTGATGTGTTAACAAAATAAACATTACACCAAAACAAAATGTTGGTGCATTGCAAAATAAATTGGGGCCAAATAGCTTTATCCTTTTTACTATTCCGATCAAAACATTGTTTTTTTTGTTTGTTTTCCTGTTCCAATGGGACGGAAACCTCACCCGGGAAGCCCTGAAGCAGTCGGCCAGTCGCATAACCGAGCTTCCTAGATTCAATGAGCCAGAGATGACGATGATGGGGAACCTCATCGCCGGATTCCATCTAGTCTTTCTCTCTCTACACTTTTGGTCTCTTCTCCGCCGCTCGATCGCCAGCTCCATCGCCTCCGACGACTCAGGTTTTTCTTTCGCACTTTCACTCTCACCTGAAATTAAAGGGTGAAAATGTATTATTCTATGACCTTTCAAGTGTTTTCACGATTCAAAGATCCATTTTTCGTTGGATAAAGTTTGTTTCTGGCGATGTGATGATTTTAAGTAACTGTCTGTAAGAATTGGCTAATCTAATTGTATCATTAGTCAGGAAACTGTATATTTTTAATGTAACTACGCCAAGGTTTATGCTAAGTTTTATATTAAATCCTGGTTATTCCCCCATAAAATTTCTCTCTGGTGGAATCATAAGTGAGCTCGAGTGAATTCTTCTTCATTTTTATTGGATTGCTTCGTTGTTTGTCACCTCTCTCTCTCGTTTAATGCTGGATAGGTTTCACGAATCTGAGTATTACTTCCGGATTGAGGAGACATGTATTAGCAGAGGAGAGCAACTTGTCGTTGGAAGAACACTTACAAAAACTGTACTCTCTAGATTCTGTTTGCTTTTATTACGGAGCATTTGTTTTTTGTCTGTTTTTCATATTTCATTGTGCTTGAATGGGAGATAGTGTTGATTTTATGTGTTTTTTTCGTTTTCATTTCCCCCCGGCAGTGAAAAATTATCTAGAGGGTACATGACAAATTCCGAGCTTGAAAAAGCAATTATGACATTTAAGCATAGGTGTAGCAGCATTGCCAGAGTATACAGGTAATTTATGATATCCATGTAATCCCTGATATCTGAAGATAAAAATGTTTCACCTAAATAGTATGTCAAATTAAGAATATGGAGATGGTTATGGGATCTTGTAGGATGCTTGTCAAATGCTCAATCTCCGCTCTGTATTTGATGCATTTAGATATTTAACTCTCACTCACGATCCATATTGTATGTTGTGCAAATACTCATCCATTAAATCTGGTCATATAGATAGTAGTTATGTATGGCGGAATTTTGACTCATTCTCTTCTCTATCTGATGATTTTTTTAATGTATGAACAGCATAGGAAAGAGTGTACAAGGACATCCACTGGTAATACTTTTCTCAATGTTGGTTACTCAAAGTTTTGCTTTAATAGTGTTCTTGTCTTATACTTCAATGAGGCCAAATGGGAGTTTTCTGAAATCTTGATTTCAGTGGGTGATAGAACTATCAGACAAACCAGGGGTGCAAGAGGCTGAACCTGCATTTAAGGTATTTATCTTTTCCGAGAACTCACACTCAAGTAACTGTGATTGAGATTATGCATGGAAGGTCGAGGTCCATAATTATGCCAAAATTCTGACTACATCATAATCAAACAACAATATTACCCCTGTGCTTCAAAGGCTCCCGCCCATTGCGGGGTAAGTGGGGTCGGACGTACGCAGTCTGACCCCTATGTTAAAGCATAGAGCGGCTGTTTCCAGATGACCCATGATGAGCGTCGAAAGTTGCATTAGCTAACTGTTACTCCCCTACCAAAAGAAGCACAAATAGTTTAAGAGCCATTTTGCTCTATTTCATGATTTTCATCTGACTCCAAAGCCAAATAATAGTGCATATTTGGTTCCATTGGAGACATTTATGGAATTTACTCTTCCTGATATGTGGCTAAAAAATCTTTCTTCTACAAAAATTCCAACCACACACCTTTCACTTTTGAACTTTTCTCTTAAATTCCGTGAAGCCAAACAATGAGCTTAATTTAGGAAAGGAAGGAGTGTAATGCATAAGTAATGTGGACGGTATAAATTGGAAAAAAGTTATATCCCGAGAATGAAAAGTGTATACCCAAGCTTTACTAATATTATTGTGCAGTGATTTTATCTTTATAAACCACTTTCCTTGTGTTTTAGCTGCCCACGTGATTGATTAATTAAACCCTTGTATGCTAGATTTTTACTTCAATGATTAATTTTCTCAATAGCCTTGTTATTGTAGTTTATTGGAAACGTGCACGGAGATGAACCTGTTGGGCGTGAGCTTCTAATGCTTCTAGCTAATTGGATTTGTGATAATTACATGAACGATCCTTTGGTAACCTTCCATTTTTATACCATTTTTATTGCTCTTGTTTTCTGTTATACCTTTTTATAAATATATCTTAATTCTTCATTCCTTTGTATTTCCTGTTTGCAGCTGATGTGTGTTTAATAACACAAGCCATTGCAATTGCCTGCAAAGCTGTTCTTTTTTTATTTGTATTCATTTTTCTTTAGTTATTGCAATACCTTTGGCTGAATGTCCAACTTTTAATATGTGATATCATGTACACGCTCACACACACACACACACACTTAATTTCCTTTATTGTGCAATGATCATGTTGCTGGACATTAACTTGGTTCCTCCACACTTGAATGCTGTAGGCTACCTTGATTGTAGACAATGTTCATCTTCATATCCTACCATCTATGAATCCTGATGGGTTTGAGACGAGGAGACGTGTAAATGCAAATAACATCGATTTGAATCGTGATTTCCCAGATCAGGTATCTTCTTTCTTATACATGTGATGGGCTATGACATTTATTTGAGGCTTGACATGGGAGAGTGATCCACAAATATAGAAAGAGTGGAATTGTGTGGTGGGATTTGACATTTACTTGAGTTTTTTGGATAATTTTGCATTTGTGTTTTGTACAATTTGCATATTTTGATCGTATAGTGGTGGGCTCTGACATTTATTAGAGATAAAAGCTTCTGCATATAGATTATAAGCTTGTTTAATTTTCAAACTTCTCTTTACCTTTACTGTTTTAGAAAGCATTAACTAACATGAAATGACATAGTTCTTTCCCGTGAATGATGATCTGGGATCTCGTCAACCAGAAACAAAAGCTATCATGAGCTGGATGGAAGAAATACATTTCACTGCATCTGCTAGCCTGCATGGGGTGATTTTTTTCACTCTTCCTTTCATTCTGTATTATAATGTATGCATGCCAGCTACAATGCAAATGTTACATTTCCATACACACAGAGTGACAGATAGATACACACACGGGCTTTATTCACTAATCACTATAATCCTTCTGTTATTCAAAGTCAATCCTTAAGCTTTGAAGAGGAACTATGAGTATCAAAATTAGGGAAATGTGGGTACTGTTTCATTAGCTGCAATAGTGCAAATCATTTCTATGTGGTACTTTAAAAAAAAAGATCTACTTCTAATTCCTAATGAACTTTACCTACTTGCAGGGGGCACTTGTTGCAAATTTTCCATGGGATGGAACTCAAAATAAAAAGTAAGATTTTCTATATTTATGTTATCCGTCTGAGTTATGGTGATCCATCTGGTTATGTAACGAACAAAAGGAGAGAACAGCTATATGGTTATCCATCTGCCTCCAATGAGTGGCAGAGAAATAAGTCGCTTCCATTATAGCCCATAGTTGGAGTGGGCAGAGCACTAAGTCCCTGCCTGCTGATTACAGATTAAAGAGTGCAAGTTCGTTGTGGACAGAGTGGCAGACCTCACTTGTTGTGGTGGTTTATTTTTTTTAAAAATCACAGAGTGGTCTGAATGCATATTTTTGTTTCTCATTTAAAATTTTAATTTTGCAGCCAACCAGCCACTAGTAGTGGTTTTGGATGCATATTTTAGTAGTGTTTTATCTTAAAAATACCTCAAGGCATGAACTCACTTTTTAAAACTCCATTCGAATAAAATCAGATAGAGGGCGTGGGAGGAGGTGGTGGTTTGTAGTTATTTATTAGAACTTATAAGCTTGTTTTGGTATGTTTGGATTGATTTTTTTCTGGTTGTCCTACTTGGCTATTTTCTAATTCTTCGACTTAGAGGTAATCATGTCTATCGATCCATTTGCAGGAAATATTACTTTGCTTGCCCTGATGATGAAACATTTAGATATATGGCAAATATATATAGTCATAATCACCACAACATGTCTCTAAGCCAGGAGTTTCCCGAAGGAATTACAAATGGTGCATATTGGTGAGGAATTTAGGAAATGATTCAGTGAAGTCTGTCCATTTAGACTGCCTCTAATTATTCAAATATTGGTGCTTCATTTGTTGATGCATTCATCTAGTTCATCAGCTTTATTCTTTCTCTGCAGGTATCCTATATATGGTGGCATGCAAGACTGGAATTACATTCATGCAGGTTGTTTCGAATTGACATTAGAGATAAGTGATGATAAATGGCCTAATGCAACTGAAGTAAGGTTCAAGTTTGAGTCTTCTAGTATTTGGATTGCGACACTTATTGCATACATGAACATGCTAATCCAATAATTGTGAACCTCCTTGTGTAGCATATACACCCAAAGGATATGAATTACTAAAATATTTTAATGTAGCAATCAGGCATGCTATTCACGTATGTATTTGTAATTTGGAATGAGCTGTGATTATGTGAAAGTGTGATAACCAACAACAACTCAGTAAGGTCGCGCAAGTGGGGTCTACGGAAAGTATGCAAACTGCCCACTTATAAGAATTTTCTGTTTCTTATAGCGATTATATGTATAAAAAAATACGAAGCATGTGTTAACTTTTCTAGTCACCAAAATTGACTTGTTGCTTAAGTTAGGTTCTTTTGTAGTTTCCTCCCTTCTTGATGTTACAAAATCGAGTAATTCAACTTTCCAGCATTACTGACAAATAGAATCCCATTATTTAGCATGACAAGTAAATTGGGAGCACCACTTCCGGCACTTTGCATTTCCAGCTGTGGAGTGAGATTGCATGAATTGCTTCTTCCAAATTAGTGAAAGGATTTTACCAGTTGATAATAACAATAATTTTTTGATTTTTTAGTGGTAAGAGTCTAATGCAAGAAATTCCAATCTGGGTATAAATTTCTGGTTGCAAATAATGCTTACCATTTTTTTGTATCAGGCATCACGAGTTATTGTGTACTCGTGCTCTTAGAAATTATTATTACATTTTACTGGAAATCTGGAATTTTGTCTTATTGTTCTTCTATAGTGATTCTTTTGCATATTTTATATTTATAGGCAGATTCAATGGATCTCTTTTAACCCGACTTGTTGATTGCAGCTTCCCACTCTTTGGGAATACAATAAATTGAGTATGTTGCACCTGGTTGCAAGCGTTGTAAAGGTAACTCCATCGTGTCATAATTTTCATTTGTACTTCTAGTATAGTACTCACTCCGTCCCTAAAAGAATGCCACATTTGTTTTTTCAACAGTCGCGGGAACTTTTGTTTGTTTGTACGTTTTCATTGATTATTTAATAAAATAAAATATTCTTGACACCTCTTATTTCAAAGAACTTTTCATGTAGTTTTTAAATATGTAAATTTTATTTTTTATATCTATACCAATATTTAAATAAAATGAATTGAAAAAACTTGATATTTTGCTTCGGTTTTAGAAATGTGGCAAACAAATAGGGATGAAGGGAGTATAATAATATCATTTGACGACTTCTTAATCATGCAGTCTGGAATTCATGGAAGGACCTTTTCTTGTGATAGTGGAAAACCTATACCTGCTTCAATAGACATAAAAGGAATAAATTACACGGTATGTACACCAATTAAGGCGTTTCTCTTGTAAATTTCACAAGTTTGTGAAACTACCAGAAAGTAAGTGTACTACTATATCTTTCTTATAGCAAGAGAGATGCCAAAGTTGACATTTATTTTTCCATCAATGGCTGACACCACTGAGCTAATATCAAGGCTCCACTAGAATAAGGAGTATAATTCTTTTAGTGGTGCCCTTGTCCCTCCACCTTTGTGGGCATTCGCTCTGTAAAATTCGTCTAGATGTTGTTCGGTCCTATTTTTCTTTTCTACAAAGATAGTCTTCCAAACTTGGTTTTTATTCTTTATTTCCTGATACTCCTTCTGCATCACCCCCTAGTGAACTAAGTATTGAGGTCTATTTGTTATGCCCGATTTGCTCTTACAATTACAACAACTAACACCCAGCTGAATCCCACGAGAGTAGGGTTTAGGGAAGGTGTGTGTATACAGACTTTACCCGTACTTAAAAGTTGATAGGCTCTTTCCACAGAGACCCCCAACTCAAGCACCACAGTAATCACGTATGCAGCCTTACCCCGAAAAATGCATTGACTAACTGCTACTTCACTATTAAAAGAAGCACAAACAGTTTAAAGATCCATATTGTCTAGGTATATGACATATTCCCTCTGTCCCACTATTTTTGGGAAATAGGGTACTAGGGTAGTAGGGTAGTGAGACACAAATTAAGAAAATTAGATATATGTGGTTGATATAATGATATTTGTGTTAAAAAGTAGATAGAAGTAAGAATGAATGTGAGCTATACAAATATTACCACATATGGTATGAGAAAAAAATAGTGGGATTTTTTTGTATTGATCTTTAATGTAAATGGTATAAAAAATGGGCAGTATGCCCTGTGGTCTAGTGCTTCATCTGCTATATAACTTCTTTTTTTTTACAGATAAAAGCTGGCGAAACGTTTGCTGATTACCACCGCCTGTTAGCCCCAGGTGAAAATTATGAAGGTAATCTATGTATTCCATATTCTTTCTTGTTTTTGTTTTTTGATTTTTAAATAAGTGGATAACATAATGTGACATGAAATTAAGATACAAACATAGACACAAATGCACACATTTTAACCATATGGATAGAAGTTTTCTACAGAAATGCCCGGCCCTCCCCTATAACCAATCATACCATGTATGACGTGTTTCAAATTTCAAGCGTGGGTCCTGTGAATTTGTTCGAAATCTAATGGTGTCGCATATGATGTTCTCTCCATGTGTTGGGAGAATCATTTTCTCATAAAACGTCTATATTCATATCTCTGTTCTAGTAATCTTCTCTTTGTCACTTTGTTCTCAATAAGTTCCCACCAAGACAAAGCGCTTTGTCAACCCATCCCACAGTAATCAGTGCTTGATTCTGAGCTGAGATTGTATGTGTGACCTAAAATTTTTGTAGTGATAGCAACAATGACGGGATACAAGCCAAAGAGGACGCAAATTGTTCTGAAGGAAGAAGCCACGAGTCTGGACTTCATTCTTGATCCAGTAATCGCGGCTAATGCAGATGGGTTTTTGCTTAAAAGATGGGATCACAGCTTCCTGCATTGGTGGCAGTCGAACCTTTTTGTCATTTTGGTTCTAATATTGGCCTTTCTCCTCTGCGTCTTTCTGAAGAAGAGCAGAGTGTTGAACCGTTCCAAGCATAGACCGAACGGAGGATCCAAAAGGCCTTCCTTAGTATGAGCATTTTGAGTTTACCCTACCAAAGCTCCAAAAAGTTTGGGGTTTTTTTTTCTTTTCACCTCACCATATGCACACGATTTACTACTTGTATGTGATGTTATATCTTCTACTGCGTCATTATTACTCCTTGGCTATGTACTTCTTTTTCGTTCCAATTTATTGTCCGGACTATTTGTTTAACTTTCAAATCAGTCAAATAGGTAAGGAGTATTTGTTTACTACATAGTATTAAAATATTTTTTTTAAATAAAAATAAAAATCTATTTGAGGTCTATAACAGAATTTCTCAAAAACTAAGTTATAAAGACAGTAATTTTTGGCAGAGCATAGTTCTTTTGGTACTAATAATGTTTGTTGCCCCCTCGGAGGCTGTGATTGAATTCTATTGCATTAACTCTTCTCACAAACCCAATCCTCCCAATCTTCCTTAGTATGTCGACAACATAGTGACCGACATAGGGTAGAGGAGGAAGTAATGATTGGGTTTCTGAGAAGTATTAAAACTCGATCTTAGATAGAGATGGATACAAGCATCGTAAGATTGAGATGTCATACTATATACTCTCTTTGTATCATACTTTTTTTCTTTTGACTTTTGTGGTCAACACTTTTAACTTTTGACCACAAATTACAAAAAAAAAATATTGAATTGTACGTAGTAATATAAAACTAATATCAATACATTCATTTTAAAATGTGCTTCTGAGTTTTGAAATATATATAACTAAATAAATAATAATGGTCAATAATATTATATGAAAAAAAATTATGGGTCCTTCGAAATAAGTAGGGAGTATAAAAAAATTGTGGGGTTTTGGGCATTGATTCCTTGTTGAGTTGAGACTAGGACCGTTCATTTATAGTGGTGTTCCTTGTTTTCATTGGGGGGGAATCTCATAGCTTGGCTTTGTTGAATGAGTCTTGAGTCCACTAAAATGAATGGCTTCTACTAACCCAATTATTGCTTATTCGATGCTTTCAAAAAAACTTGATAAGCGGAGGTTCTTTTTTTTCGTCAAGTTGGAAATAAGTGCCCTCCGACAAAATATTTTTGGGTCAAATAGTAGGAAAAAAATACAACAATTTTACATGTTCCCTTATGAGAATTGGAGCAATCATTATAAAACTTCGGATACTTTAGTGTCTTAGCCTAATTTTTGTAATTGAGATTAATTTAGAATTAGCGAGAATTTTAATAGACATTGTTAATGAGTTAGTAGGTGTGTAGAGCACACTCATGACTAGTTCAAGGATATTTCAAATGTCATAGAGGGATCTTGGGATGGGTTGCAGCTCCTAGCGAGGCCTAAGAGGCAAATCCCCTGATTGGGCTCGAAGTAAATTGAGTTGGAATGCATAAACTAATACACAGTACATTCCAATACAATGCTTATCTCTAGCACTCTTTGTAAAATGGACTGATACATTCGAATGTTTGATCTCAAACATTAGAATTTTTCGCAATAAGATATTTTCTGTGCAGAGTATTATTTTTAAAATAATCATTATATTTAATCATTCTGCAATATATCAAAATAGAAGTTAAAATACATTTACATTAGAAATCATGATTATGTATATTACAAAAAAATATAGTAAAATGCATATTTACAGTACCACATTACCACAGTGTAAACTCTATTTAGGAAATAAAAACATGAAACTCTTATTTTGGTATTTGTTCTATGCTTTATTCTTATTTAGGATGATTTTTTAAGCTTTGTGACTTTTTGAAAGCTATTGACTCTATTACAAGGTAGTATCCGTTTATATTATTTTCAACCTAGTGACCTGCAAAGAGTCAATGTTTTCGCCTACACTAGGACTCAAACCTGAGTGAACTTCTTCATGAATCTTGGAGAGTGGGCTTACTACCAATCAAGTCAAAAGTGAAGTTCTATGTTTTGTGATTTGTAAACGGTTGATATACTCCCTCCGTCCCCCTGTATTTGTCCACATTTGACTTTTGGAACTGTTCATCTAAGCACTTTGACTCATCAAATTCTCTCAATGTGTAAGCTTAAATATAGTCATGTGTGATCTTGTTTGATTTGTCTTAACATATAGATTATTAATATATAATTTTTATAATTTTTTAATATACAAATTACAAGATAAAATGGATTAAAGAATTGCATTGGATGGTGTGCAAAAATGAAAGTGGACAAATACAGGGGGACGGAGGGAGTATTTCTTCAAACAAGAGTAAATGGTAGTCACATCAATTTTTGTAACATTAAATTTGATATCATGCAATTTTTTAAAACATTAATAACTTTATTATAATGTAGTAATTGTTCATATATCTCTAACTCATTAAACACGTATAATTATTATTTCTGCCAGAGATCGACATGTGACCTATAAAATGAAAGAGTTATTATTATCATACTGTTGGATTACAAGGTCTTTGTGAAACAATAATTGCGTATGTATATCTATGTAGTATATAATGTCAGACTTTAATTTTAAAATTTTGGGAGATACCAAAATTTAGACACTACATTAACACCAAAATTTCTACACCCCTCCAATTTTTATTTATTAAACCGGAAAAAGGGGCCCACAATTTATTACTAGTTTAACGAAGGGATAGCCTCCTTCAACGATTGGGGGCAATCTTTCAGCTGACTTTTATTGGTGTGTGTAACAGATATTGTACCGACAATTACCCTCATATTGGCTTCCACACAATTTAATTTTATAGATTTTAAAAAAGTATTGAAAAATAAAAAAATAAGATTAAAAGTTATGAATATAATTATGTGTCCCAAACACGACTTTTGACACCATTATTTTTACGGACACACTTACACGAAATAAAATTGGATGTATGTAATGTCTTAAGAATATGACATCAAAGGTAGTGTAAAAATAACATATAAATAGCATTTTTGAATTTGGTTTAAGAAAAATAATAATAAAGCACATATTCTTAACTTTATTTTTTTAAAAAAATCCTATAAATTTTGACGCTCTGAATTTTTTTGAGAGAATAAAGTACATATATTTTTCAATAAAAAGATGAAAAGTGGCAGTAAAACGATTAATTGGGAGGGAAGGATTATTGATACTAATTACTAACGTATGTAAAAAAATAAAATTGAAATTTTAGGTTTGAAATGTTGAGTATTAATCTATTTTGGAAAAATCTGACGTCACATGATTCATAAGTGTATACGAATAATAGTACACAATGTTAAATTTTGGTCTGATTGTAGAACGATACCAACAATAATTGTGGAAAGTCAAAATAAACAAAAGATCAATGATACCACTGTAACATTAAATTTGACATTAATATTGTAGATGTCGATAATTTTTGGAAAAATATTATCGTCTATAAGATATTAAATTATTACTAATGATGGTCTTCTTTGGAAACAAAAATATATTTTTTGTATTAGGGTAAATTGGATACTCAAGGTATGTTTGGTGAGCAAACAAGATATAGGTTTAGATATCTCCAGATATCAAAGTTCTTTTTGAGTGTTTAGTGAAGCCATATAAGATATCGAATTCGATATCTCCAGATATCATAAATTCTTCAAATGAAGAGTTTCGATATTTTTCGAATTTGGGAGATACCAATATGGGAGTTTGATATCTCTCTCAATCATTGATCATTCTCTGTCATTGACTACCATCTTCACCGCCAACCATCCTCGTTGCCGGCCACTTCTGTTTATCACTAATTAAATCGTGATTTTAAATCTCTCCAAAGAAATTCGTTTCAGATTTTAAACTCATATCATTTCTCTAAGATTTTACATCACATATCTAATCATTTCTCGAAAACTCACTAAACGAGCCCCAATATTGGACAATTCTTTTAAAACGCTAACACTCAATACTGAAATTATTTCCAAATGGATGGGATCTGAAATTATTTCCAAATGGATGGGATGCCAAACTTTCTCAATTACGGAGTATTATAAGTTATAACATGCCGGAAAGAGATACTACATGCAATAGGAGAGATTCTACAGGTCAAAGGTCGGCATGGCTGTCGTTTTCGAGCCATAAAGAAAAAAACGCATCCCAATGCCAAGAAAGTCTGTGCATTTACATGCAATCGCCTTCTATATATACACATACATTTTCATAATATCCTCATCCTCATTCTCTCTGGGTTGACTCTCTTTTTGCTCAAAGTTCTTCCATTTCCCTTTCCTCTGTGAGTTCTTCAATTCTTTTCCAGAATGGGTTTTGGGTTTCTTGCAATCGTAACGTATTTTCTTGAATTTTAACAAGCTTAGGATGAATGGGTCTCGAATTTCTTGGTTCTTTGCCCCATTATGTTTCCATTTTTTCTTTCTCTGATCTGCATCCAGAATATACATGTGGGGTTTAGGTTTAATTTCTTGCCAAAAGTTTTCCCCTTTTCGATGTAATTAAGAACATCAGAACTTCAATTCTTTTCCCTGCATGATCCTTCTGTTGACAAGAGTTTGGTGTTTATTGTTGGATTTTCTTGAAATTAGGTTAAGATTTGGTGTGGATTTTGATGGCGGTGAAGAAGAAGGGATGTATCGAAGGCGGTCTGCCAGAGGGATTGCAGAAGCTGCTGCTTTCTTTAGCTCTGAAATGGGGAGATGTGTTATTAGATGATGAAGGTGGTGATGGTGATCTTGCAGGTGCCATAAAGGTGAAACATTTGAGTGGTGCAATGACTAATGAGGTTTATCAGATCAGCTGGCCTGCAAAGATGGAAAGTTTGACCCGGAAAGTTCTTGTTCGGGTTTATGGCGAAGGGGTTGATCTTTTCTTTGACAGGGATGGCGAAATTCGGACCTTCGAGTGTCTTTCCAGCAAGGGCTATGGCCCTAAGCTTCTAGGTCAGTTCCCCCAAGGGAGGATTGAAGAGTTCATTCATGCCAGGGTATGTATCTCAAGTACCTTTTCATCATCTTGGAATTGTACAATCAATAGTGGATTCATAACGTCCTTAGTATGGTTTTGTCCAAGTGTCTTGTGAACAAGTTGGGTAGCGTATATTCAATCATCCGTTGTGCATTTTCAGACGTTATCAGCTGGCGATCTGCGAGACCCAAAAGTCTCTAGTCTGATTGCAGCAAAGTTGAGGGAGTTTCATGATCTTGACATGCCTGGTCCAAAGAAAGTTGTTCTTTGGGACAGACTGAGGTATAGTTTTCTTGAATCACTCCACTTTTCAAGTGAAGTAGTGTTTACTTGTTATAATTGAGTTGTCTTTTTTGTTTCCACCACACAGAAACTGGCTAGAGAAGGCGAAGAGTTTGTGCTCAACAGAAGACATAAAAGAGTTCGGTTTGGAAGATTTGGAGGGCGAAATCGGGTTTCTAGAAAAAGAGATATCGAGGGGGGCAGAAGAAGAAGAAGATATTGTCGTCGGTTTCTGTCACAATGACCTTCAATATGGGAACATCATGATCGACGATGATGCTAATTGTGTTACTCTCATTGTAAGTATTCTCTTATCTTCTGAATCCCAACCAAAAGTTCAACCTTGTGATTGTAGCCTGCACGTCCCCTAAAAAAAAATTCCAAGTCCAGGAAAAGTTTTATACACTCTAACACGTGTTGTAATGTCAACAGGACTACGAGTATGCGAGTTACAACCCAATTGCATATGACTTCGCCAACCACTTCTGCGAAATGGCAGCCGATTACCATACCGAGACTCCTCACGTTTTGGACTACACTAGGTACCCTGGTGAGCAACCAACCAATTCTTTTGGGGGTTTAGGGATTTTATGAGATCTATGTGTACCTTCTTCAAGCTTCTCATTCGGCATTTGCAAAACAAACAGGGCAAGAAGAACGCCGTAGATTCATACGGTCCTACCTGGGTTCTGCAGGCAACCATCCAAGCAGGAGTAGTGAGGAAGTAGAGAAGCTTGCAGATCTTGCAGAGAAGTTTACACTCGCGAACCACTTGTTCTGGGGGTTGTGGGGAATCATCTCGGTAAAAACACGTCGTTGTTCTTATTATACGTGTGTAAAAGTATCTGGTGTTCGATCGAGATGGGGTTAGCGAGGAAACAACAATGGATGTTCCTACGTACCAAATCACATAGTTCAACTCATCTAGAGAACAGAGAACAGAGATAGTTCAACTCATTCCGTCTTTTGGCTACTTATTCATACAATTTCATACAATGAGAAATGAAAAGCGGCATTCTCCCTTTACTTTCGAATAATCTACTAATTACTAATTACTTACTAATTACATGTTTGCTTTATCCGAATTCCTATTATCTATTCTCTTATTCTCTATTATATGGACCCTATCAGCAGTTACTCATTTTAAATTGTGTTCTTGCATTGTTGTATATATAAAAAAAGAGTTGTGCCTCATATGTTTTATTTTTTGTTTTTTGGAATCTCAGGCTTATGTGAACAATATAGGGTTCGATTATCTGGAGTATGCAAGGCAAAGGTTTCAGCAATACTCGTTGAGAAAGCCCCAACTCTTCAAATGAATCATGGGATGAGACGAGATAACATGACATTCGGTCGCGTCTTTTTTTCGTGATTTTGTCGCACTATGTACTATATTCTTTGGTCATTCCATAACGGGCTTTTGTTTGTCCACCTTAAAAATGATGGGTCATAGTTGTACACAACAACGAATCCAGTAAAATTCCATAAAAAAATGGAGTGCAAGTGATGTATATAGCAGTGGTACGAATAATTGAGCTTTTGATGAATGAATGAATGAATGAAAATAGAAACTCAGTGTATAGTTTATTTTTCCATCCCTCCTATTCGGGTCTGTATGCTTGGGGGAAAATAAGGTCAATAGAGCAATTTAGAAAAGAAAAGGTCATCAATGTTGTAGATTCTTAAGAATGCATGGATTCAATTAAACAAAATACTCCCCCGTTCTTTTAATACATAGAAAAATAAATGAATGTAGACATGAAATATGACAATGTTCATTGAATTTTGATGTATTACATGAGTCATACTGGTAGTGAAGGGAGACTTGTTAAAAAATAGCCATAGAGTATAATATTTCAAAATAATTCCTAGCATACATCACCTCTATTTACATCACCTCTATTTAATCAATGATTGTCTCAAAATGGAGAAGATAAATACAGCCATGGCATACTAATGATTGGATTAAATGTCTTCAACTCAAGCCTAAAAGTGGAATAATAGAACTTACTTAAACTAACAACATTTACAGCAGCTACGCCAACTTGTGCACTATATAAACCGACAATTATATCGAATAAAAGAATCATAAGTACCCAAGCGAAGTATCAGTTGGTTGCGTCTTGGGGCAAAGGAGTCACGAGTGTCGTTTTACCCTCTCCTAGATCCTCCATAGCAGAGCATTCTGTACCACCAAATCAAAATTAACAAATTTTATGACCATAAGTTGTTGTGGTTTAAGCAAAGTTATGCCATTTTGAAGTTTAATGGTCAGAAACACACCTGTTCTGTCATAAATCTGCTGATTCCACTGCCAATTCCTGCTTCTGTAACTATTTCTTCTTTGTCAACCTCTGCATCCGTAAATGTGAGGGCACGTTGCAATTTTCTGGGACAGAACATTTCAACCTCTACAATATAAGAGGCTTTCACTGGCCGATGATCAGAAAGCCTAATATCAGATCTGTCGTAGTTTAGTAGCCGCATTCCCTTCCCAGATGAAAGAATGCGGTCACACCTGAGAAACCCAAAAGAGCGAGATGCAACATGTTAAGCCAAACCCATGGTAGAATACAAAATAACGCATTAAAATATATTTGGCTACCCTTCCTATCATAATAACCTTTTATTTTAATATGGTATTGCATTGCATATGAAGCATCAAGTCTTGATATGATACCGAGCATATTAAGCAAAAACGAGCTATGTTTTGTTGGAAACCCAACTCCCCAAGTCTTAAGTAACATAGCAATCAATTATAAATGAAAGTGTAGAACAAATTCCATTATTCCATAGGTTACGGAATTACACATACCAGGATGGAGTACGCCTCCCAGACTTTGGATCCTCTCCATGATAAACATCTGTGTTTATATCATACTTATAAGTGGGTGCGAAGTTTACAATACCTTCAGCCCATCCATCAAAAACGTGTCCTTTTTTCAGTTCTCTTCTAAGCTGCACGAAACAAGATGATATACTCCTTAGCTAGGTTCAATAACAAGTACTTTTCTACATACGAGTTGACTTGTTCAACACAAGGGATGTTCATTCTTTAACAGTTCAATTCAAAAGAGTTGCTCAGATTTACCTGATCACTTTCAGCCAACTTAGACCACTCTTTTTTGGAGATCAGCTCCCTTGCTTTCTCGTATGATAAATTGATACGATAATTTAAATCACCCAACCAGATTATCTTACTGAAACAAAATAAAAATCCTCTTGTCAAAGTTAGAGGCAAAGAGAAAGAGAGCAGTTAGAAGTGATTTTGCATGTTCATTTATACTTTTAGGAATAATATAAATCCTCTTACGGGACTCACTCGTGATCATTGATGCTTTTAGGAAGTCCAATAGTAGAATATGTATTGAAATGTGTCCTCCTATGAATTTCACGCACATCCGCATTTCTTTTTACTGCATCCCCTTCTTTCTCGCCTGATGATAGGTGAGAACAGACAAAACAGACAAGGGTTTGGTGTATAGACATGCTAACCGAGATTGACCCCTGAAACAAAAAAAATATAAACGTTATAGAAGAACTGCATGGTGTGACATAAAGAAACAAGTGTCCAACTTTCAACCCTATTTACCACCAAATCACAAAATATTTACCATAAAAATCAATTCAATCCTTGTTAATCAAAACACACAATAAGTCTCCAAGGATGTGTTTGGAGCTTGGAAAACGGCAGGGTGAAGGAGAACATACAAGTGAAAATATTTTTATCTAAATGTTTGGTTTTACCTTGGAAAATATGAAAGAATCAAAATCAGCTTAAACTTTTAAAGGTTAACATATCTTTAGATTTCTTAATCCTTATATAATAGAACTATTTTAATAAAATGAGTTCAAGTTGATTTAACACACATTTTCTTTCTTTCAAAATTTCAACAGTTGATTTATGGAGTTTGAAAGACTTTTTATGTTCTCTCACATTTCCTTTATTTCAAAATTTCTATCTATTTTCTCCCCATTTTCTTTCTTTGGAACTTCTGAACTCCAAACAAACCCCAAGTGTATAATGAGTAATTGCAATCTAGAGTGCTATTTAAGCATTTTATTTCTAGATAGAAAACATGGAAGTGTTCCTTCAAGTGGTGAAAAGCTGAGATTAAGAACAAACCTTATTGCCTATATAGCCCATTACACCAACGCCAACAGTAGACACATTCAAGTTCCGGATATGTTTTCGTAAGCCTCGGCGAACCCATATAGTCAAGAAAATGCCAACCATTTGCTTGCTAATAATCCTCACATATGAGGGCCTTCTTTTCTGTTTTATTAAAGATTCAAGATTGATTTCTCCAAGTAGGGCTACATCAGACTGCAATTTATTTTGGCCATTTACCGTGGAGTTAAAGGACCCGTGTCTTCTGAAAGAGCGTGAAACATTGAACGAATTCAATGATTTGAAGGAATTAGGTCTTTCAAAAATATCCCGAGGCAGAATATCAAGTTGTGGCTCGGGCCAACATAGGCCAATCTTCTCTGTAACACTAAGTGTTTTGGTTAGTTTCTTTCCGAATTGGATATTTGATTCCTCTGCATCTCCATCATACTCTTCAGGTCTAAAGCAATATAATCTGTCAATTCTTTTTGGTAAAGAAAACTGCCTTTCAATTGCAACCATATCACTGCCAGATTTATTCCCATAATTGACTTCAACGTGTTCATTAAGTGCTTCATCCAATGGAACAATTTCTTCCTCTCCCTCATCACTATCAGTCTCTAATAAAGTTTCATCTTCAATATCATGGATATCTTCGGACCACTTAAACCTTGAGGTCCTTGACGGAGAAGGAGGACCACTAACAGATTCGATCTTAGTCCCAGATGGGATTTTACTGAGAGATTCTCGGATGATGTTTTCCCATTTTGCGATTGGGCGACTGTCTTCAGCGCCTAAGACATTTCCAGCATTTAAGGGAATTATTTCTTGAAAGCTGTATGTAAATAAAACTGTAAATGAGAATCCCCTTTCAGCAAGAGCAATACATCAAACTAGTTGGAATCTAAAGAAAAATAACTAATTGATGCCTTGATGGAAACAAGAAGAAAATATGAATAGCCTGATCATCAAATTAAATACTAAAAGAACAGAATGGAGATAACATCACTTTTATCAGCAGCCCAAACCCGTCTTGATGAGATCAGTCACATCAGAATTATTGTGTCAAGTAATTGTATAGAACTAATTAGCACGATATATTCATGCATATAAACAATCAGGAGATGAAATAAAGAGGTGAAATTCAAAAACCATTACATATACATAAAACATCATGAGATGGTGATGAGTTAAGTATGTCCATTACATAATCAATAATGCAAAACCAACATGTACATCATGTAACATGACCTAGCAAGGAGATCGCATAATTTCATATCAAGAATTTAAATAAAACCATTTATCAGTTGAAATTTTCTCTTGTTAAATATAATGCAAAAGGCAATTATGAAGATCTGATACCTACCCAAGCACATATATATCAGCAGGCTCCTCAATATTTAGCCAACCATCAAGATCAAGATCATCTGAAGGAACTTTTCCTCCAACGTTCCATGTGCCAACGCATACTCTAGTAAAAGAAATTAAACAGAAAGATGGGGAAAAGGTAAGAAAATAATGAGTGCATGCTGCCCTAGGCAAAACAGTGAAGAACAGTTTTTGGATTCCTTATCTATACGACTATACCAAGCTAGCTTTAAAAAAGAAGCACCTGATTTCCTTTGTACTTATGTATTGTGCCCTGAATGTCTCTGATTTTCTTCTTCTCATCCTGTGAACTGTTTCTGTAATCAAATTAATATAAAAAATGAGAAGCCAGTGGTGAGCAGAAAATTATAATAATTTCAGAATAAAATGCTTATAATTATTAATCAATATAAATATTGGACGAAGGGTTGGGAATTGTGTTATCAAACATTTGCGGAGTAGTTTATATGGAAAGTGATGTGGATATTCAAGTGCAATATTATCATTATTAGGTCACATTTTCATGTAATCATAAGCAACCCTATCATAATTTCCAAAAAATATGAGAAACCCTATCATAAATTATAAGCAACCCTATCATTAAAGTTAAGGTATAGTTTCACAAAATTAAGAGAAACCCTATCATAAATTATTTCCATAAATTAATCTTTAAAACCAAAGCATATCAAATTTACCATTAGCATCCATCTCAACTTCGCAGCCACTTTCATCCTTAAGCCGCGACTTCCTCGGAAACTCACAGAAATCTATACAAATCCAAGATAATTTCAACTATTATGCCGGAGTGTGACAATGATTGTGTAGCAGAGTCGTGTTAACAAAACAATTCATTTAGCATTTGGCCTTTCTAGTTGTATCAACAAACCTGGATCACAGTCCGAGTCAGATGCGAGCTCGGACTCGGAATCGGCGCTATAATCCGAACCTTTGTTGCTGATGTTGAGCCACTTTCTCATCACCACTCGCGGCCAGAAAAGCTGCAAAAGAAACACAAATAAGAAGGATGGACAACTCCGATCGCCGGAAAATCAAAGTAAATGGGGAAATATGAGAGAAATCGGCCAGAAATATTAACCTCGTTTTGACGATGCCGACGCCTTGAGCCGAGCTTCATGCTTGAGAATTGTGGGGAAGGAAGAAGAAATCTGAGGAATAAAAACGAGTCCAGTTGAATGGTCGGAGCTCTGATATTTCAAACGAAGACGATGGCTGACTTCGCAGAGTACGGGGGTTTATACGGCCGCGCCGCCGCGTTTTTTTAGGTGGGACCGGTCGAGTCCAACTCGTCTGTGCTTTGAACTGTTTAACAATAACCGAATTTCAAAAAGAGTAATTAATTTGCTAATTTTCAAGAGGAGAAATTGAGAAAAACAATACTCCCTCCATCCAACAACTTACTCCATGTATTAATTTTACCCACCAACCCCGTATTTAAGAGAAGTAAAAATTATTTTGACTTTTTTTTGTTCTTGGGTAATTAGAGAATGTAAATAAAATAAAAAAATGTAGATAAGTAATGAAGATGTGATAGCTTTCCTATTTTGATTACAAATTGCGGAAAACGAAGAAAAATTTTGAGTTATTTCAATTCATTTTGTTTAAAGATTGAGACATAAGTAAAAATAAAATTTATATATTTAAAAATTACTCCATCCGTCTCATGAAACCTTTCTCCTTTCTTTTTTTATCTGTCCCACAAAACACTTCTCATTTCTATTAAAAAGTCACATTTACCCATTACTTTTTCATATCCTAACTATCACATCATACCTTTTTACTAATAATATATCCATCAAATCATACTTTTACCCATCACATCAAAGGACATTTTTGGAAATTCAATACTAAAATACACTCCCTTAAATCCCTCCTAAAAAGCAAAAGTCCCATGTTTCATGGGACAGAGGGAGTATATCAAAAGTTTTACAAAACAAAAAATGACAAGAATATTTTATTTTATAAAATAATCAATGAAAGTACACAAATAAACAAAAGATATCGTGATTTTGGAAAAATAAATAATGCAATTGGAATAGAGAGACTGCTCTTTAAACAATAAAGAAAAGTAAAATAAAGTAAATCTAAAAATGGGTGATAGGTGGGCACTAGTCAATCGGGTTAGTAATATGTTTTTGAGTCAATAGGGTTAGTCAAGAGTATAATTTAAAATTGATACCATCATTCCACTTATAAATACTTTTGTAAATCTGCATTTGAGGTATTCGGAATTCCAATCCTTTAACCTGCCTTCAATCCTTTGGGTCTGTTCGTGGAATTTGATAGAACTGGAATTGAATTGAAATTGAAATTCTACGGGATTCAATTCCATAGTATTGAATTTACCAATTCCAATTCATTTTTTGCACTATCTATTTCAAATTCATATAAATTTTGTATTACCAAACACCAGAATTGGAATTAAAGTTTTCAATTTCAATTTCATAGTTTGAATTACGTGTACCAAACGGAGCTAAGTATTTGTATTGCCCAAACTTTTTGAGATATTAATAACAACATATTGGTTGTTCCTTTTGGTATCATGTTAATTATAGGCTCTCAATGACTTATGTTTGTATGTAAATTTTTATTTATCATTTGATAAAATAAAGTATTCTTATCACCCTTTGTTTTGTACTCCTTTTGTCTCAAATTAAACTGCATTTTTTGTAATTTATATGGTCAAACTTTATTCAATTTTTCTCCGATTTTTGTTAGTCATTTGATAAAAAATATAGTCATATCACCACTTATAAAATGATTTGAAAATTTTTTTACTCAATTATCATAAACTGAAACGAGTACTTTAAAATGGAACGGAAGGAGTAGAACTTATATAATTTTGAACGGTGTAATCTATATTTTTTATTTTTACACTAATCTGTAAACAAAATCATTTTAAAAAGAGATGAGATTCGCACAAATCTACCTAATTGGGACAATAAATTGAGAATGACGGAATATAAATTGGGACATCTTTATATTGAGTTCTTGAATTTGGCACTAATTTATTTAATGTATAATATCCTCCGAATTGAAATATACATGGTGCGGAGTATCTTCTTTTCTATGTTCTCTGAAAATTTGTGTGCTATTTTTTATATAATCAAGTGTTATGGAGTTATTGATTGTGCTGCCTGTCATCCATCTTTCTGCCATCTTATGCTAATTATTTAAATTATTATTGTAAACAAAGCATAAGAATTAGCCAAAAACTCTCCATAATTGCATGTCTGTCTGGAATTTAAATAACAATGAGGCCATGAACCTGAAATATGGTGTTCCAAAAAAATACCACGGAGCATGTGATTTAATTTTCTAATTCAACACTTCTAAGCCCTTTTGACTTCATTTTTCCAACAAACAAACACTTTATTGAATTTATGTTCAATTTAAACAATTTGGTAGGAAAATGAATAAAAATGATATAGAAATAATCTTTCTTGTTTACTTAGAGAAGAAAAAAAGTAATGTAGAACGATAAAGTTATTGCAATGAAATGAAAAAATCTGTAAAAATGAAAAAAAAGGTAAAATTTCTTCCAAATCGGGACATGATACCCTCCCTCGCCTTGCCCTCATTAATAGTCTTGATCCTTGTGGATTATCTTAGCAAGGCCAAAATGGTATAACTTGACATTACATTTACGAGTTGTTCTTCCGTAATCCTAAGATCCACATGTGAAGCGTGATCCTTCTCACCCTCTTCAAAAAAGCTGGCAGATAGATCTTTTTTGTCAAAGGCCTAATTTTTTTGTCGAACGAGCATGGACTTTAAAACCATAGAATGATTTGCCTAATAAGTCTTGCATCTGATAATGAGCATTCTTTCAAAGTAAAATGAGCACTCCAAAGACAAAGTGTGGGTGCATTCTATTGTTACACTAAAAAGGAATTCATAGACAAGAGGTATTAATACATTAAGCACCGCGCCACCGACTGGCCAAGATCATGGGTACCAGCGTTCAGTTGATCCATATGTCATCTTTAAGTAGTGTGAAGCACAATTAGCACAGAGCACTGACGGTCTCATCTTGTGTAGTTAAAAACTTACTCCCTCGGTAAATATTTCTTCTTCTACCAAAACATCAAATCTTATTTTTACCCATCATATCAAGGACAAAATCAGAAGTCAACTACAATTTAACACTTCCTTAACCCCTAATGTGACTCTAGAATCAGTAAACAATTACTATAATTAAGAGGGCATTGTTTTGTACCGATATACTTTAGGGTGGCTCTAAGGTCATGCTGCACATAAAGGTAAACACGGTCTAATTTTGCAACCAAAAATGTTTTCTGATTCCTAAAATGGAAGAATCAAAATTTCTCAGTGTTGGTCATGTTTGCATCAATTAACCCGTGGCGGGTACGCTCAGGACCGGTACGATAGGGTCATTGCACGGGTTAATAGCATGGGCACCCATGCTATTTACAAAAAGGGCGTTAAAACGCCTTCTGTTTTCAAAAGTTATTTGTAAAGTTCCTGTGGCTTCTAAATAGAGCACACATGCCCCCTTACCTATTTTTAAAGCAAAAATGACATTTATGCCCTTTTTTCCCCGATCTTGAATTTTTCCAATTTCAATTTCCTTTATTATACAAATATATAAAATAAAATATACGCTTCCCATCTCAAATTAGAATTTTTTCATAATTTACTTTTGAAAACAAAAGATTTTTTTGGAGAATGTTACAAAAGAAAATGAAAAATAAAATATTATGTACAAAGTAAAAATAATACGGAGTAATAGGTAAAAAAGGTAATGAAAAGAAATAAAAATATAAAAAAAAGGTCTTTTTCTTTAACTCCATTTCATCTTTATGTTCTTCATTTTTTAAAGTCCTTCAAAAATTATTTTACTTTTAAAAAACAACTAAGTTAGAATTTTTAATTAGAGATAGAGTGAGTATATGTTATCTATTTTTTTATTTTATTTATTTTATTTTTACTTATAATGAAAAAGTGTAATTATTTCATTTTTGTAACATTTTCTAAAAAAATTATTTTTTTGAAAATTAAATAAATGAAAAATTTTAATTTGAGAAAGAGGGCGTATATTTTATTTTATTTATTTGTATAACAAAAAATATAAAGAAAAGAGAGAAATTTGAAGATAGAGAAAAATCAAGGGCAGAAATGTCATTTCATGTCTAAAATAGGCAAGAGCGGGTGTGTGCACTATTTAGAAACCACAGGGGTTTTACAAATAACTTTTGAAAGTAGAAGGGGTTTTGGCGTCCTTTTTGTAAACCATGGGGGGCACTCATGCTATTACCCCGTCATTGCACATTTGCAATGAAAGTTCCGTTTACGATCCATTAGTTATACTCCCTCCGTCCCGGGAAACATGGGAGTTTTGGTTTTGGAGAGGAATTTAAGGAGAGTGTATTTTGGTATTGAATTTCCAAAAATGTCATTTGATGTGATGGGTAAAAGTATGATTTGATGGATAGATTATTAGATAAAAAGTATGATGTGATAGGTAGGGTATGAAAAAGTAAGTGTAAAAGTGACTTTTTAATAGAAATGAGAAGTGTTTTTTGGGACGGATGAAAAAAGAAAGGAGAAAAGTTTTCTGGGACGGAGGAAGTATTATAAAAAAAATTAACAAAAAATACAATGGACTTTTTTTGTATTTCGAACCATGTGAATTGAACAGGCCCACTAATGAGTATTGACTAGACTAACTCGAATTCACTAAGTTGACCAGTAAGCCCAGACAACGAGTGATTGGTTGTTGTGGTGATGTGGGATGCAAAATCACTTTGAACTTTGAAGAGCCACAGCCATAATAAGTTCACAATAAATTAAAAACAAACAAATAGAGTGTGATAATCCAAAACATTGGGGGGTTGAGGAGTTTAACAAATAGGTAACTTTGACTACAAAAATCATGTGAGAAACTCTCCAGAAATAAAATCTCAATCCTAGAAGAAGAAGACGAGGATGAGGAGGAAGTAAAAGAAGAATGACAAGAATTAATAAATAATGAAATGAATTCCATCACACCTACCGAAAGAGCCAGCTAGCGATGAATGGCGGGGACGCCGCCAGATCAAGCGGATCTATCACCGGCGGCGGCATTTGAGGGGGAGGAGGAGGCGGAGGAGGAGCGAAGGACTTCCATGGCCTCGGCGACTTTCTTCTTAAGAGCCTCGGGAGACTCGATGAGGTGGAGCACCTCCGTCTGGTCCATCTCCAACAGCATCCCCGTCACTTTCCCCACATTCTCCCGCTCCGCCACCCGATCCACCAGCGGAAACAGCTGTTCTCCCAGCATCTGCACCCAAAAACCAACCAACCACCCACCCACTTTATCTCTATTCTCAAAAGTCAAAAGGGAATCAATTCAGATCAAGAACAAGATTAATGGAATCAGATGAATATATAGGTAGGTGTGAATGAATGAATATATTACCACGCGCTGCTGCTCCGGCGAAGCAGATGCCAGAGTGGAAGCAAGAGTTGGGGTGTGAACTGGCGGTGCAGGGTGGTGTTGGGCGTCCATAGCACCTCCCCCCATGTTGTATCTCCCTACACCATGGTTGGAATTCCGTTGCATCCACTGCAAAATTCAACGGGCAGATTAGATTATTATTCACGAACGCGACGAGTAGCTAGTCTAAGTACATTGGTCCTACTGGTATATATATATACCTGCTGCTGTGTTTGTGGAGGATTTCCACCACCACCACCACCACCTCTCCTCATGCCCACGCGTGGCGCAGCGGCGGCTTGCCCTTGGCGATGGAGGTGATGGTAAGGCATGATGAAATTGGGAGGGCGCATCCCGGGAACAAGGGGCTGCTGAAACCCATACCCTCCAGCCTGGGGTGGAATGCCTTGCCCGAAATATAGCTGTTGATGAGGAGCGAGCCTTGGTGGTGCCCCGGGGTGAAACCCCCCTGGCAAAGGAGGAGCCGCCATTGCTCCGGTCGGCCTCATTTGAGCAAAATGTGCCTGCAACCAGACTTGATCAATAATAATCATCTTATCATAGTATTACACATTGCCCCACCAATGCAGACAACACTCACCTGTAGCCAAGCATTCCTTTCGTCTCTGCGCTGGGCAATAGCGACATATAAAGGCTTTCTTCCCACCAATTTCCCATTCATTTCACTCATCTGAAGTTCATAAGAGTGATGCATAAAGATCAGAGCATGTTCCCAAAAAAATGCTAGAGAAAGTTGTTTTCTTGTTAGCTGTTTTGTACTACTATCTAAAAGAAGCCTAAGTAATGCCCTAAATAATGAAGCATATATCTACTTCTTATGTTTTAATAACTCTAAGAATGTTAATTTGTAAAAATGGTGCACATTAACGACGAGCAAATCTTACAGCTCTTGAAGCTTCCTCGGGCCTAGAAAAGGCTACAAAGCCAGAACCTTTGCTGGTTCCTTGTGGCTGCAGCATCACCTACATACATAAATCTTTAAGTGAGAAAAAATGCCACATACAGAGTTGTATTCAAGAATCTTATCTTTGCACCTTGCAGGATAATATAGTTCCAAACTCAGAAAACAACTCTTTCAGCTTTTCATCATTAATGCTGTCATCAAGATTTTTCAAATACAGGTTGGAGGGCTTCATTTCCTCAAATCTACTAGCTCTCTCTTGCTCAAATTTGGATCTCAATTCCGCTACCCTTTCGGATTTCTTCTGAGCCCTGCTCACATACAAAACATTGTCATCCAAGGAACTCCCATTCAATTCCTTTACCGCAGAAGCAGCATCCTCTTGATTTTTAAAGTTGACAAACCCAAAGCATTTGGATTTCCCACTTGCATCCTTCATAACAACACAGCTGGTGATGACACCAAATTTTTTGAAAAGCATATGAAGATCCTCATCAGAGGTGGTTTCGGGAAGGTTTTTCACATACACATTTGTGAACTTCTGTTCCCCATTTGCTCCCCCCCTTTCCTGTCGACGAATAAAGTGGCCAACATAAACTTGCTTATCATTTAGTAACATGCCATTCAGCTGCTTTATTGCAAAGTCTGCAGCCTCCTCTGTGTCAAACTGCACAAACCCATGCCCTTTAGATTTACCATTGGCATCAACAGCCACTTTGCAGGAAAGCACATTCCCGAAGGCAGCAAACGTCTCATGCAAAGCCTTGTTGTCAATAGATGCCTCCAAGTTTTTAATGAAAACATTTGCAAGTCCAGTTTTACGCATGCTTGGATCTCGGTGAGAAAACATGATCCTCATCGGTTTTCCTTTTAATGGTGTAAAGTTCAAAATGTCCTTTGCACTAGCAGCTGCAACATGCACACACCCCAAAAACAATAAAACTGGTTACGAAGTGACCACATTGTCCCTAAGTAATTACACCATATAAGGAGTACAATGAAAACAACACTAAATAATATACTCCGTAATTATTTACGAGTATGATAGTAATTTCTTTAAACAATAAAATACAGGAAAAGAATCAATTCATCTCTTTAATCTTTGAATGTATGGTTTCTAGACAATAACATAGGCTTACATGTCACATTTATTAATTAGGACTCCAAATGTCAATTTAAGTCTACGTTAGTACTCCTTAAAAAAATGATACAGAGTATCGAATACTTCATACTCGGTATCTATTAGCACTTTCCACCCTTATAAACAATGTTACAAAGTATGATACTCGCATTAAATATTCATTATAATCAAACTTATTTTTTCTACGATCAAGTTTGTAAATTTTAACGAAAAAAATCAAATGTAAATAATTCTTTGGTTCCCATGGACTATATGTTGTGAAATTAGAGAGATCAGTGGCTTAATTTCTTCACCATGGTGGCTGTGATGAGAATAACAAGCCAATTAAGCATCCAGTTGAACAAGTAATCATCAGTACAAATGCAAACCCAGCAAAAATTACTATGAATAAATCCAAATCGCAAACATACAGGCATGCGCATTAACCAATAGGGAGTAATTTTCGATAGCAATTCGAATTTCAATCAACACAAACAAACAGAGCATGCATCAAGAGAGAGCGCGATCGTCGGAATCGGTTACCATCTTGCGGGGTGCCGAAATTGACGTAGGCATAACCGAGCGAGGATCGCCGGGACTGATCCCTGCAAACCCTAACGGACACCACTTGCGCCACCTGATTGAACAGATCGTAGAGATGATCTTCCTCAACCGACGCATCGAGATCGCCCACGTAGAGCGACGAGTTTGTGAGCCCTCCCATTGCAACCGCGGCAGGGGTGGCGGGAGTCGGAGCGGGCGCGGAAGCAACCGCCACAGACGGAGTGGCCCCGCCCAGCGCCGCCGTATGCGCCGCAGTAGCCGCCATTGCAATGCCGATCGATCAAGAGGTTTAGAAAATCGAAGACGAAGAATGAATCAAAAGGGGAAAATTGAATCTAATGATCAGGCGAGAGGGAATCCCTAGACATGGATAGATATAACGGAGTGTATGTATAGGTGAGACGAAGCTTTGGTGTGATGGTGGAAGAGAACATGCGATGCGGCAGGGAAGCCGAGACAAAAGTGAACGATCGGGAGACGACGCGTGTATATATACATACTCCCTCCTTCCCATTCTTATTCCCATAAATAAAATTTGGGTCATGCTAAGCTTACACCACAAATTATACCTCATTTGTACACCGTAGTTATACACAAACATTTTGATGGTTTACACCGACACAAGTGTTTGTGCGTTAACAAAAATTTACACAGACACAAAGTGTTGGTGCATTAACAAAAATTAGTTTTACACCAACACAAAGTGTCGGTGCAAACCTGCGGGGTACAAAGTGGGGTACAAAAGTTGGGGTACAAATAGCTTTATCCATAAAATTTTTCTAACATTCCCATATTATTTTAGATCTAATACGGAGTATTTAGTTTTCTATTATGAGATATTATGTCTGTCTTTCATTTATGAGTACTTTTTATAAATTTTTTTTCTGATCTTTTTGTCATTTAAGTGTTAATATAGGGGCTAAATATGTAATTTGACAATGATCATATATTTTCCTTCTCAAAAACAATTTCGGAGACTGATCTTGATGCATCATTTGTGAATCACAGTTGCTCTATATTACAATCATAGTCTACAAATGTTGTCTTTCATTGGCAACCTAGATCACGACCATAGTCTAATGGACCAATATCACTAGACATTGGGTTAATGTCAAATTATAATTTTCGCTCTCAAATTAACATAAGCATGTCAGAAGGTAAAAAAAGACTATTTTTGAAAAAATCCTAAAGAAGAAGGATCACAAGTATAATATTAGATAATAAAAGATTTAATATAGAAACTCTCTTGTTATAAAGGATGAATTATAAAATTTTCTCTAAAATATTCATACGATCAGATTTTATTTATTTTATTTGATTATTTTCATTACCAATTTCATAATGTAATACTTCCTCCGTCCCTGAAAGGGTTTTCCTTATTGATTTTTTTGGAAAATTAAGGTAAAGATATTTCTGTGTAAAATTTCCAAATATATCCTTGATGTGATGAATAGATTATTAGTAAAAAAGTATGATATGATAGGCAGAATATTAAAAAGTAAGAGGTAAAAATGATTTTTTATTAGATAAGGGAAAATCCTTGGAACAACAAAAAAATGAAAGAGAAAGATCTTTTAGGGACAGAAGGAGTATTATAATCTCGCCTCTTTTTTTGTAAAATTTTTTATCAAATTATAAATGTATAAATTTTATTTTTAAATGTTACACATACAATTAAATAATTTAATTTGAAAATAAAATCGATCCAGTTTCATAACATGTAATAGGAAGAGCTAGCTTGGACGAAGGAACATTTCTTACTACCTCCATGGCTCCATCTCGAATTAATCATCTTTTAAAACTGTCACAAATTAAGTAACATTTAATAGGAAAAACTAACTTGGACGAGGGAACATTTCTAACTACCTCCATCTCAAATTAATTATTTTATTTTTCTTTTAAATCTGTCACAAATTATTTGTCTCAAATTTCATTGTAGTCTGCCTCGAAATCACACTTCTCTAATCAAATTTCATGTACTCAATTTTTACATATAAACAATTTTCATAAATTTTGTGAAGTTAAAATTGTTCACCTTACGATTAATTTGGGACTGATGGAATATTTCATTTAATCCCTCCGTTTGTGAATGGTCTTCCCGATTGATTTTTTACGATACTCAAAGTCACACTTTGACCATTAATATTTACATTTATACATGAATATATTTTATGAAAGTTTAATATTTTAAATCTATGTTTCACAAGGTAACTATTGATATTATATTTATATCGAAATACAATGTATTTTTTCCATAAATCGAGGTCAAAATTTATAAAATTTAACTAAGAAAAGTCAAATAAATAAATCATTTTTGGATGGAAAGAGTAATAGTTTAGGGCCTTGATATACTACTTTTTTGTTGAATAAGAATACATATTTGTATTCATGTGATTTGTTACAAAAGTGAAAAATGTTTAAATAGACTTTTCTTAAAGAATTGATAAATGATGTAAGTTACTAGATTAAGAATTAGTCTCTCTTAGGTAAAAATAAAGGCTTGTTTGGTGAACAAAAATGATATGGGTCGTGATATTATTAGATATTGTAACCTTTTTTTAGGTGTTTGATAATTGGTGAAGATTAAATAATTTTTAGATTTGATACTTCTGCATATAAAAAATCTTTCAAATGAATAGTTTTGATATCACTCCTAAATTTAAGAAATATGAATATGTGCGTTCGATATCTTCAAAGCCAATCACCCCCACATGTTGCTAGTTGTATTATGATTCCAAATCTTTTCAAATAAATTTATTTCAGATTTCAACTTTTATAACATTTTTTCTCTGAACTCGTATAGTATTATATTGAGTAAATTTCTTAAATGGTACTTAATAACTACGTGTATTATATTGACTTTTTAAAACCCAATTAGATAAGTTATAGGCTTTCATTACTTTTAATTTCGCATAAATCACTCTAAATAGGAGTAAAACATAGAGAAAGTAGCAAAATATAAACTTCGAGAGTAAAGTAGCAAAAATTAGCAAAATTCATACTGTGGTAATGAAGTGGATCGAAGATGTACATTTCAGAATATATTTTGGTAATTTAAATGGTTATGATTGACATTGTAAGTACATTTTAACTCATATTTCAAAAATAAACATATGAAATTACTATTTTGGTATATTTTAAATATTTTTTCTATATTTTAGTCCTTTTACAAATACATAATCATATTACAATTTTTTTAATTAATACTCAAAATTTATACTCCATATATTTTAAGTATTTAACTAAAAAAAAGTCTAATTAGGAACCGTTTTGGTTCATTTTAAGGAACAATCGGGTAAGATAAATCGACCGTTATGCGAATCTCCAATGGGGGCTTGTGAACCGGTTTGTTGATAGAACGATTGGAAGCGGCGCACGTGGGGTGAGTCTGGTGACGTGGCAATTGACAATTTTGACCCTTTTTTTCTTGGCCTCGAATTGCTAACATTCGGAAAGTTTGGGGGTTAAATAATTTAAGAATGATTTGTTTGATATTGGTTAGAAAAACTTTTGAGAGTCTTCAATATAATGTTTTGGTCATTAATTTTTATATTTGTACATAGATATATCTTATAAATTATTTATAAAACAACATTATTTTATGAAAGAAATATATTAATTTTACATTTGTATATGACACAATGTAATTTTTCTACATATTGAGATCAAAGTTTACAAACTTTGACTTAGATAAGTCAAATAAGAATAAAACCTCCACGGGGAGAAAGTATGACATAAAGCACCTACAGTGACTCAGGAGCAAAATTGATAGTTTATACAAGTAAATTCTCCTAATGGTATTCAATAACTATGTATTTTCTCAAATTAGTCTCCAAAATGAACTAATTACCGAGTTGGTACTCATTAATTTAAAAAAATAATATCCAGTTTAGTCCTCCCAACTAACAGACATCAAAATGGCATCAAAAGAGTATTAAAACTTATACTACAATCCCTAAATCTTCATCTGTAGACTGTAATTGGATATTTTATTCAAATTGGTTCATTTTTGAAGTAAAAACTCATTAAATATGAAAAAACAAGGTGGTCTTTTCTTTTAATTGATTTGCCATTTTGAACGACCATTTTTTATGAATTTATATTTCGAGAATAGGCTAATTCCAAAAAATATTCAATTAGAGATGAACATTTTGAAAAAATAGTATAAGTTTTAATATCATTTCGATGCTATTTTGATGACCGTTACATGAGGGGACTAAATTTGCATTACTTTCAATTAATGAGTATCATCTTGGCAATTAGTTCATCTTGGGACTTGGGGACTAAATTAGAAAAAACATAATTATTGAGTAATATTTTAAAAATTTACCGCAATTTATACCTATCATATTAGAGGTGTTTGGATGAGTAGAAATCATCCATTTTATGTAATTGTCTATATCATATTATGATATTGATAATCAATGTCGAAATATACACATGATGAGATAACCGGACATTCTCATTATGAAAAGATTTTAAATAAAATAAATATTCATTTCAAGTTTTGCACAATAAAACTCTCACAAAGTTAATCATATCATTTAAAGGTTTACAATTGAAATTGTGTGACAACTTCTACTTTAATAGTTAGGAATATACTCAATTTCTACTTTAAAAAAAAATAGATTTCTTAAATGATACTCAATAGCTACAAAACTTTCTAAATTAATTCCCACTAGTTATCGAGATGATACTCGTTAATTGAGAAAAAATACTTTGTTTAGTCCTCCAACTAACGGCAGTCATAACGACGCCAAAACTTACAATAGTTTTCTAGAATGATTCTTTCTAATTGTGTCTTTTCTCAAATTCTTCCATTTTAACATAAAATGTCATGAAATTTATAAAAATAATTTTAAATACTTTAGGATGAAAATATAATAATAAAACTATAAATATGATTATATATAGTTGAACGCAAACATTTTAGAAATTATTTAAAAGAATATCATGTAAATTAAATATTTAATAAATGTCTCCATCCGCACTGAAATAGGACTTCTACTTCGATTTATGATGCTTGATCGATGTGACTTAAAATAAATATATTAGAAAATTAGTTTAGAATTTTCTATTAATATGAGTCTTGTTTTGGGATGAAAGGAGTATCAAATGTTTTATTTACATAATATTCTTCTAAACATTTATCAATATCTTGAAATGTTTACTTTAAAATTTATAAAATTATTTTAATAGTTTGTTTATTATATTCTCATCCTACAAAATTTAATTTTTTCCCCATATTTAATTAGTTTATTTCGAAAATGGAGCAATCTGAGAAAATACACAATTAGAAAAAACTATTTTAAAAAATTAGTATAAGTTTTACCATCGTTTTAAAGACCGTTATTATAAGCA